TGTCAAAGTTTTTCACCAGGTCTTTGTGGAAAATATAGAGAGATGTAGGCTGGATGATAGAATAAGCAAGTGTATTTGTTATTGGCTGACCATATGGGCTTGAATAGTGTTGAATAATGGAGCAAGGTCAACATGGAAGAAGCTGTCCAATGGAATGTGTCAGGCAGCTGGGTTTCAATTCATTGGATCATAGATCTAGAGTTGAAAGTGTCATTAGAGGTCATCTAGTTCAAACCCTTGATTTTACAGATGGGGAAACTGAGGCCTATTGAGGGGAAACACTTGCCCAAAGGCAAACAATTAATAAGTGTCATAATTAGAATTTGAACCTAGATGCCCTCATCCCAAATCTAGCTCTCTTTCCATTGTACCTGGATCTGAATAAATGTTTATTAAAGCCATTGGCTTTTGTAAGGATGTTGATAAATCAGAGCATGTGATGAAGGGACAGGAAATTATTCCATAGAAAAGTTGGTTGAATGTTTAACTTGGAGAAGAAAAGACTTGGGGGTAGAGGTACCACGATTACTGTCTTAAAATATTTTAAGGATTGTCATATGGAAAAGGGATTCAGCTTGTTCTGGAGGGCCCTAGGAAACAGAGAATGAGGACCATTGGGTTGGAATTACAAAAAGCCAGGTTTGAGCTCCACACAAGGACAATTTTCCTAACAATTAAAGTGATCTAAAATTCCAGTTGACTGCCTAGATAGTTTCCTCTCACTAGAGGTTTTCAAGAGGAGGTTAAGATATTTTCTCAGGATGCTGTGGATGTCCTTTGTGGTACAAGCAGGGTTAATGTGGATGACTCTTGATGTTCCTTCCTATGCTATGGTTCTGTGATTATCTAAGTCCCATCCTTCAAGGCCCAAGTCAGGCTCCACTTTTTCTCTGATACTTTTCCTGAGAGCTTAAGCCCACAATGAACCTTTTTTTCCTCTCAGAGCTCATGGTTAATAATATGGCACAATGGATACAGTGCTGGACTTGGAGTGAGGAAGACCTGAGTTCAAATCCAGCCTTAGACACTTACTAGCTGTGTGACCCTGAGTGAGTCACTTTACCTTTATTTACTTCAATTTCCTCATATATAAAATGGGGAACATAATAGCATCTACCTCCCAGGGTTGTTGTGAGTATCAAATGAGATAATAATTGTAAAATGTGCTTAGCATAGTGCCTAGCACATGCTATATAAATGTTAGCAATTATTACTGTTATCAGCATCATCATCCATTTAAAAACACAGGCTAGAGCACACTATTAAAATCGCAAGGTAAAATATACTATTTGTATTTTTGATGACTGGTTCTTATCTACGAAATAGACCTCAAGCCTTTTAAGGGCAGGTACCTGGTCTCTTTCTTTTATATCCTTAGTGCCTGAATGACCAGCATGAAGAAGGCACTTAATAAATACTTGCTGATTAATATTGACACACTACTATTTCAGGAGAGGGCTCTGACTTTTGTTTCCTACTAGTTTGTATAATTACCATGATAATGTATGGATGTTGAATATCCTCACGTTCTTTTTTCCTCAGTTATTAAAATGAATCGTATTTTGCAAAACATGTTTGTATAATTTTCCCTAAAGTCAGTAATAAATTATAGATTTTTGTCTTCAACACACAGCAGCTATGCTTATTTTTTCAATAGGTAAATTTCCATCAACAAATATATGGTAATACTGTTTTGGTCCCCCCTGCGGGTTAAGACGGCCAAGATCTTCAATTAGCTTCCTGTCAGATTTCAGAGCAGTCTGTTTCTTCTTGCTAGGATCTTTTGAAGCACCCACATTGTGAACCTAAACCACCCTCCCAGAGCAAAGTTTTTCTCTGCCAGTCTTCCTTCTGAAGCATTTTCTCCTTTTAAACAACTCTCTCTAAGCAGAACTAATCCTTCCCTATTGTGAATCTCCCTTCTGAGATGGAGTAAAGTCTTTGGAACAAGAGTAGGGTCTTTTTTGGTGGTATAAGCTTTCCTTAGCCTATCTCTATGCCTTTATGCACTGGCTTGGTTAGATCCACTTTGCCTCAGCTGATCCTGCGCAAATAATTTAGCAAATAACTTATCCCAGAATAAATGCAAATTAAAAATTAAAATTATACAGTGGATTTACACAGTGCTTTACATTTTTTCAAATTTTCATATGTATAATATCATTTTTTCTAGCAATCCTATGAAGCAAAAATTGCAGATATTTTCCAATCAGATTTCTTTCCTCCCCTACAGTTGTGAGTTTATTAGTGTAAGGGAACTATCTCAAAATTGACAATTCATTTGTAATTTATAGTTTTTGAGAGTTGACTATAGCATTGAGAAGCTTACCCAAGGTTACCCAGCTAGTATGAGTCAGAAGCAGGCTTTGAACTGAGTTTTTCCTGACTTTAAAGCTCACCTTTTGTTCACTAGGCTGTGCTACCTCTTCCCAATAATAGATTGAATGTTAAATTATTTGTAAATATTAAATTTCTATGTAAATGCAAGCTTGTAGAATTATTTTATTCCCATTTTGTCATTGGTACCATTCCCATATTTGTCATTATTATCTTTGTTGTTATCATTATCTTATTGTCATCTTTTACAGTAGTGTTTGGTAGGAATGGTCCCATGAAAAGTCATGATCCTGCCATTATTCTTTTATAGTTAATGTTCTGTGAACTATTGTACAAGTGGATAAATTATCGTGATCATGAATTATTATTATTCTCATTTTCAGGTAAAGAAAGTGAGGTTCAAACAGGTTGTGGCTTGTATGTATAGTCAAACTATACTTTCCCTCTCTAGAATAGGTATTACATCTATCTATCTACATACATACATACATACATACATATGTACATATACAAATACATATATTGGGTGAAACACTTAATTTGATAATATCTATAGTGGTGCTCTCTGTCCTATATGTAAATGATATAATATTTTTGGTTTGAGGGTTTTTATTGAAAGGATGACACCTTCTCATGTATGAGAGTGATGCCTAAGTTTGTTTCTATAAGGATTTCACTGAATTCAGAGACTACTAACACATATGTGTATATACCTTAATTCAATGTGCAGTGCTACATTTATTCCTGTTTTCATGTCTTTGTTTATTTTCTCCTGCAAGAAATACCTTCCATCTTTCCTTTTTCTTATCTAAGTTCTACAAAGTTCAACTTTAAACTCAACCCCTTTATGATAACGAGAGCTCATATTTACATAGTGCTTTGAGGTTTTCAAAGCTTTTTCCATTTCAGGAAAGTCTTTGTGGAAGGCAATGCTTGACTGATTTGAAAAAAAAAAACTTAGTAGATGGAAAGGATTTCTTGCCATGCAATTTGTATAGTTACTTATTTAACATACTAGGTATATGGTACAGTTCACTACATTCAGAGAAGAATTCCATTAAGATGATCATCTCAATTCTTTACTCTGAATATTGCCTGAAATAACAGGGATTTTCATAGTAATAGTGTTTGTTGTAATGGAACCCAACCATCTCTTCATTTGCTTTTCTCAATTATAAGCTATTATCAGAGAGAGAGCAGTATGCATTGACTTTTCACTGCTCAGAATTCAAAGAGCAAGTTCCTGTTGTGAAGGAGCACGAAATGTCATGACTGCTTTTAACACAGGCAAGTCAAGCAGTTTATATTCCTTGTAAAAAATAATTGTCTCATTAATCTTCACCCCCAACTACCTAGGCCTACTCCCAAGGTCAAACTCAAGGATCCAGAGGAATTGCAAAATGCAAGATCATTTATTCACAAACAGGAAATCAGTATCCTTGAATTCTGAATGCAAGACCCACTCAATGGTAAGATAATAAGGACTAGAAAGAATAGAAATGGGTGGGGATACAGAAATATCCCTGCCTAGCTGATATCTGAGATGACAAAACCTTTCCTAGTAACCAGAGACATATGAAAGTGTTGATGGGGAATGGGGAAATGGGAAGACAAATCCTAGGAATTCTAGGAAATGAGATCCAATTTCCCATAAAATTCAATTAGCTATCACTAAATCCATTTTTTATTGCATTAAATGACAAAACTACTTCCCAGGGAAGCCTTTCTTTCTCATGGTCAATATTCCATCACAGAGATTGTGGCTTGGCCTGAGAAAATCCAAGTAGACAATATCTTTTGCTTATATCATGGGGTAATTATTGAAAGAGAATGTATCATGACACAACACTACTTTGTTATTTAAGTTTAGGAGAAGGAAATGAAAACTAATTCTTCTCAGATGTTGATTATATACCTTAAAAGAGATGAGCAGAGTTTTCTCTATTTCTCATTTTAAGAGGCTACTCTGATTTATTTTTTTTTCAAAGGAGAAAACAAAAATATATAGACTTACAAAGTGGGAAGTACTCTTAAAAGTCATCTAATCCTTAATGTTACAGCTGAGAGACTTAAAATAGCCTGCCAGGGGACATAGCAAGTTAGTGACAGGCAGAACTAGAACCCAAGTCTTCTGGCTCCTTTTTCAGGACTCTTTCCATCAGTCTCCCTTCCTTTCTTGAAAGATTTCTTTAAAAGTATTCATCATTCTATTTTTTAAAAACTCATTTTATTGATGCCATTAGTCTTTATATCAAAGCCATTTTTGTTCCCTTAACACTCCTTTGTGACAAAGAAAAAAATTATGCAAAAACATCCAGTGTGGTGACTGTATCTACAGTGTAGACAACAACATTCTGCTATAAGGAGATAGGTATGTTTCATTACTTTTCTCTGAGATCTTCACTGGAAAAAAACATTGATTTCTTTGTGAGGGTGTTGGTGTTTCTGGGGGAGTAGGAGATGATGTTTATTTGCTCACAAAAAGACTCATCAAAAAGCCTTTCTCTTATATTTAAGACATGATGGCTTATTGTTTGCTCAATAATTATTCACTTTGGGTATTAGCCTACTTTATAGAACAAGAGTGAAAAAAATGGAATGTATTTAAATGGTGAGCCTCCGACTACTGATGGGATCCTAGAGAACCTATGGTATCAAAATAGGTATAGAGGCAGCACATATGCTACAATTGGGACGATATAGAGAAGATTAGCATGGCCCCTGTGCAAAGATGAACTACAAATTTGAGAAGCTTTCCATATTTTGGGGTATAGAGTGTGTTCAGGAAAGACTAGTACTTCTGGTGAGATGACTGTCAAGCCCTTTTCAGGGCTGCTTTCCATCTTTAGTGTTCACCAGTTCCACGTAACTCTCACCTGTGGCTCCAGGAGGCTGTAGCATGCACAGCAGCCACATCTCAATAGGTCATTTTGGCAGATGGGCTAGAGATGTCTCAAACCCATTGGTGAGTTGGGAGGTGTCTGCCCCAAGCGTGTGAAGACTTCCTCTGGTGGAATGGGTGGATGAGAACAATGTGTTCCAATGGCCATGAAGACAGCCAAAGCAGGCACTGTGGAGTTCTTAGAGCTTGGTTAGACATCAAAGATGCCAAGGTCATCCACTGCGTCTTGAACCATCAGCGGTCATCTTGATTCTGTCCTGCCACTGGACTGTGATGACTCTGGAAGAGAGAATAAGGCCAATGACTTTGTGCAGCTCTACCTCACTTAAATCCAATTTATGCAAGAATCAAAAGACATCACCCATACCATTTTACCATTTTACCTATCTCAAAGTCCTGTGGTGACAGGCAAGTGACAAAGCAGCAGGTGTAGATACCCTGGGAGCCGTAGTCACAATCCTGCAAATAGGCAGCCTAAGCTATAGGATCATTTTCTCACTGGAAGCAGCAGTGGGATTTGGCAGTCCCCTGAGTCTGAGCAGCTTTTTAAGGATCACATTGCTCACCTGGTGTGAGGGAAGGGCTAGAAAAGGTGCCCTAAAAATTGTCTACTTACCCAATCCTGGCCTGATTACCATGGCAAGCAGGGAATCCCACTCTGTGGTTGAAACACACAAAAAAATGGACAAAAATGTCTGCAAAGATGATTCCACTCACCATTGGCACATGGAATGTGTGCACACTTAACACAAAATCCAGTAGACCTGAAAGACAAATAGCTCTTGTTGCAAGAGAAACTAACAAGTATGACATCCAAATAGCAGTCCTGAGTGAAACAAGTCTGGCAAATGAAGACCAGTTTACTGAAGTTGGAGGTGGATACACATTTTTTGGGAATGTCCACAGTGAAGGGGATGGCTGTGAAGCTGGTTTAGGTTTTGCAACCAAAGCTCATCTAGTAAACGAGAGTGTATGCCTACCAAAAGGAGTGAATGACAGGCTCATGACAATGTGATTGCCACTTGCAGGAAAATGTCATCATTATCAGTGCCTATGCTCCCACCATGATGAATCCTGATGAGGTTAAAGAAAAATTTTATGAAGACCTGGAGACCTTATCATCAATGTGCCAAAAGGGGACAACCTTATAATTCTGGGTGACCTTAATGTCAGAGTAGGCTCAGACTACCAGACTTGGCAGGGAATCCTAGGGAGGAATGGAGTTGGAAACAACAATAGCAATGGTCATTTCCTACTGAAGACTTGTGCATCTCATGACCTTCTCACCACTAATAATATCTTCCATTTACCTAAACACAATAAAATTTTGTGTATGCACCCTTGCAGCAAGCATTGGCATTTAATAGACTATATGATTGTTAGAAGAAGAGACAGACAGGAAGTGAGAGTGACAAAGGCAATGTGTGGCACAGAGTGCTAGACCTATCATAGACTTATCCTCTCTAAATTAAATATTCCCATTCAACCAAAGCAGAGTCCCCAAGGCAAAATGACTACCAGAAGAGTTAATGTCAACAGATTAGACCTCTTCTCTGAGCGAGAACAGTTTGTTGCTAACTTGGAGTGAAAGCTGAGCCAACATACAGTTGGCAAGAGTGGAGCAGAAAAGGAGTGAGCAGCTTTCAGAGATTTGCTGTATAGCACTGCATTTGCTCATCTGGGTCAGAACACTTGCAAACACCAAGACTGGTTTGATGAAAATGATGGGAAAATTCAGAAGCTGCTAAATGAAAAATGAGAATTCCACAGGGTTTACCAGCAGGGTAGCTCATCCATCTCTAAGAAGGCACCATTTAATTTAATAAAAAAATAAAGTACAAACAAAGCTTAGAGAGATGCAGGATTCTTGACTCAGTAAGAAGGCAGATAAAATTCAGTTTTGTCTTGATAGTAGCAATCCAAAGCTTTTATGATGCTCTGAAGGCTATTTATGGGCCAAAGACTTATGGTGCTTCTGAACTACTTAGTGCTGATGGAGCCACATTGATTAGTGATAAGGATATGATCCTAGATGGGCTGAACACTTCCATAGTGTTCTCAACAGACTATCATCAATCAATGCTGAGGCCATTGTCCGTTTACCTCAGGTTGAAGTCAATCCCTCCCTAGCTGAAGTTCCAACTGAAGAAGAAGTTTTGAATGCCATTAAGCTCCTTTTGTGTGGCAAAGCACCTGCTGCTGATTCTATTCCAGCTGAGATTTACAAAGTAGGGGTCCATTGCTCATACAAAACCTGACTGAAATTTTGCAGGTTATGTGGCAAGAGGAGGTCATCTCCCAGGAGTTCAAGGATGCCTCCATTGTCCATCTCTATAAAAGTAAAGGAAATAGATTGTCCTTGACAATCATGGGGGTAGGGGTGGGGAGGGGGTGTCTTTCTCTTAGTCATTTCTGGCAAGATTCTTGCCAGAGTCCTCCTTAATAGGCTGATTCTTCACCTGGAAGTTGGTCATCTTACCTGAGAGCCAGTGTGGCTTCAGAAAGGGCCAAGGAACAGTTGATAGGGTGTTTGCTGCCCAACAACTTCAGGAGAAATGCCAGGACTAGAACAGAAGTCTGTACACAATGTTTGTAGATCTGACCAAGGCTTTTGATACTTCCAGTTGTGAGGGCTTACGGAAAATTATGTTAAAATTTGGTTGTCCAGAGAAGTCTATCAGCATTGTATTTTAATTTCATGATGGCATGCTTGCCCAGGTTCTGGACAATGGACAATGCTCTTGTGCTTTCCCAGTCACCAATGGAGTGAAACAAGGCTATGTGCTTGCTCCCATGCTTTTTAGCATGATGTTTTCAGCCATGGTGTCAAATGCCTTAAATGGGGATCAGTATCAAGATCAGTATCAAGGTCAGCTACCACACTGATGGTAAATTCTTCAACTTGAAAAGGCTACAAGCCAAGATTAAAGTAGACTAAAGTGGTGCGTGATTTTTTTGTTTTTAGATGATTGTGCACTCAAAGCAGCCTCTGAAGCTGAGATGCAATGAAGGATGGATCAGTTCTCTGCTGCTTGTGCTAATTTTGGCCTAACAATTAACACCAGGAAAACACAGGTGCTCCATCAGCCAGCACCACACCATCCATACTTGGAACTGTTGGCTACAGCAAATGGAGAAGTTTTGAATGCTGTAGATGAGTTCACTTATCTTGGTAGTGTACTTTCCAGGGATGTACACATTGATAATGAGGTTCATGCACACATTGTCAGAGCTAGCTCAGTATTCGGGAGGCTCTGAAGGAAAGTATGGGAGAGAAGAGGTATCAGACTGAATGCCAAAACTTCAGACCCAGTTAACTAGAGACCTCTTTTTCCATGCCTTACTCCTCTGCTTACTTTGAAACTTGCCTTTCTATCTCTTTCTACATTTATCAGCTGAATTTCCTGACCCAAATCCTGCCTGATGATGCCAACCTCTAGCTGTCTGATTTGACCCAATGTCATTTAATCTTAGTGACTTCTCTCTTCCTGGTTTGATCCCCAACTACTGCCTGCTTTCATAGTCTTCCCTGATTTTGTCCTAGCACAGCTATCCACTGCTCTGGCTGGCTTATCAGCAGGTATACCCAAACAGAAATACATAATAGGTAACTAAAATATGGGACTGCAATTTGGATAAAATTCAGTCTTATATCTACCCAGTGGATCAGTTTTGCTTGGCCTTTTACTTATGCTTAATTGAAACAGGCTATTACTATGTCAGCTAGGCAGGCTGGGGTTCACTGTCTGTTGCTAAGAAAAACCTGACAAGGGCTCTTCATTTGACTGTCAAAGGAAGGCTTCCCATGCTTTTTGTTAATTATGTTTTGAATCCTGAAATTAGTCCTGTGGCTTTCATTTTAATCTTGATTGGGCTGAGAGAATTAAGAAGTTAAGAGCAATGTTAGCTTCCCCCCCCCCTTGTATTTATCAAGTAAAGCTGATGAATATAATCTACTATTATTTGTGCTGGCCAGGCTTCATCTAGAACATTATAATCAGGTCTGAGGAGCAATACAGTGGTGCATGGGTGTCTTCTTCTGACCATTCTTGGCAGATGCCTAGGTCAATTAAAAGCTGTTGTCTGTTCAGAGGAAGTCATGCCCCCATTATGTGGAATGGAAAAGTATGTATTAATTGCTTACTTTGTCAGTACCTTGCTAAGTGCTGGGAATACTGGGAAGGGAGCTGTCCAAACATGCCAGCATAAAGAAAACTAATACTTAATATGTGGGGGATGGGGGAAGAAAAAAAAATAGTAGGAGTCAAACAGCAGAAAAGAGTTAATTCCTTCCCTTGTGAACACACACAATCTTTTAAAGATGAACACGCAGCAAGGTTCAATGGTCATCTTCCTACCTGCTCGTCTCCAATCACACAAGATTGATTGAGAAAAGCTCCAGGCTCTTTGGCAGCTAGGTGGCACAGTGGATAAGGCTCTGGGCCTGGAGTCAGGAAGACCTGAGTTTAAATCCAGCCTCAGACACTGACTAGCTGTGTGATCCTGGGCAAGTCACTCAACCTTTGTTGTCTCAGTTTCCTCATTTTGTAAAATGAGATGGAGAAGGAAATGTCAAATTACTCCAATATCGTTGCCAAGAAAGGGATCAAATGGGGTCATGAAGAGTCAGACACAACTGAACAATAGGCTCTTCAGAAGGAACAGTTGCAAAACTATGGAAACCAGACACCTCCCTGTCTACAATACTGAGAGACCTTCCCTTCCTGGCTGCTCAAGTGACTCATGCTGAATCTCTCTATTTTGATCAGTAACCAGGGGAACAGCATCTCATCTACTTCTTCCTGGGAGAGTAGGGGTATCAGCAGCACTTCAGGATTAGTTCACTAGCATTACATTTTGCTGG